ATATATATATATATATATATATATATATATATATATATTAAAAAATTCTCTCTCTCTTTAAAAAAAAATAAATAAGTGAAACCAAAATCTGGCTCATTAAGACCAATAAAACTATTAAGCATTCAGTTAGACTATCAGGAAAAAAAGAAAACCAACAAATTACCAATAACAGGATTAGAGGGGATAACTATAGTCATTAAAGGAATAACAGGGAATATAATGAATTTTGTCAACATATTTAACCTCTCAGATAAAATGGACAGATCCCTAGAAACACACACCTACTAAAGCTCATTCAAAAACAAATGAATATCCAAATAATACTATATCTAATAATAAAATTGAATTTGTAGTTTAAAACTTCCCATAGAGAAAAACTCTTTACACCCAGGTGGAAATGTTACCAAACATTAATGAATAAATAATAACAATTCTACACATACTCTTATAGAAAACAGAAGACATGGACACACTTTCCAATTTATTGTGAAGTCAGCATTAATTGAATACCCAAACCAGACAAAGACATGTTACAAGTTGTTACAAGGAAGACAGAACAACAACAACAAAAACCTCAAAAGCACCCTCGGCCCATGCGCACGCCAAAAAAAAACAAGAAAGAAAACCTCACAACAGCTGGGCTTGGTGACACACATAATCCCAAGGTACTCAGGAGGGTGAGGCAGGAGAATTCTAAGTTTCTGGCCAGCCTGGGCAGCTTGGAGTCCCTGTATCAAAATCCAAGATTTAAAAAGCGGGGGAGAAGGGAGGTAGGGATGTAATGCAGTGGTACTGCACTTGCAAAGCATGTGTGAGACCCTGGGTTCCATCTCTGGTCAATACACTAAATAAATAGATAAATTTCAACAATATATTAAAAAGTAATGGATCATAATCAAATGGATTTTAGGTCAAGAATGCATGGTTGGTTTAATGTTAAAAATATCAATCAATGGAATTCACTAAAAGAAAACCACGACAGTCTTAACAGATGTTATAAAAAAAAAAAATGACAAATCCATTGACAATAAAAATCCTGCAAGCCAGGAACAGAAGGAAACTTCCTCACCTGATAAATATAATGTTAACACAAAACTGTGTGGTAAAACACTGAATGCATTTGTGGCTGGGGTTGTGGCTCAGTGGAAGAGCACTTGCCTAGCAAGTGTGAGGCAGTGAATTCAATTCTCAGCACTGCATATAAATAAATAAATAATAAAGGTCCATTGACAATTAAAAAAAAAAAAACAAACCTGAATGCTTTCACCCGAACACCAGAAACAAAGTAAGAGTGTCTCATGTCTCATCTCACTACTCTACGAAACATTGTAAGGCAGATTTTAGCAAGTTTAACAAGGCATAAAAAGCAAATAAAAGGCCTAAGGATTAGAAAAGAAGAAATAAAAGTCTTTAGTTGCTCACAAAATGACTTAAGACATAAGAAAGTCTAAGGAAACTACAAAAGTGCTACTAGAATTAGTTTAGTAAGGCTGCAGGCTACAAGGTCAATATGTAAGAACTCAAAAACACTGCTGAGAAAAACTTAAAAAACAAGTAAACGAGATATATTCCATGTACACTGATCTGAAGATTCAATTGTTAAGATGTCAATTCTCCTCAAAATTCTCCACAGAGCCAACACATTTCCAAACAAAATCCCAGCAGCTTCAGCTTTTTTTTTTTTTTAAATAGAAAGTAACAAGCAGTTCTAAAACTTATATGGAAATGCAAAGAACCTGAAATAATGAAAACAATTTTAAAGAATAAAGTGGGACATTTCATACCATATGATTTCAAGACTTCATTACAAAGATACATTCATTAAAATACTGAAATATTGGTATAAAAGACATTATTAATCACTAGAATTGATTTGAATACATCAACAGTCTCACACATACAAGATCAATTTATTTTATTTGTTTTTGTACCTGGGAATGAAATCAGGGGCACTCAACCCCTATGCAACATCCCCGGCCCTATTTTGTACTTTATATTTACAGACAGGGTCTCACTGAGTTGCTTAGTGTCAAAAAATGGTTTTGAACCTGTGATTCTCCTGTCCCAGCCTCCTGAGTTGCCGGGATTAGAAGCATGTGCCACCATACCTGGCTAAATTTCTTTCTGACAAAGGTACAAAGGCAAATTCAATGGGGGGAAGGGAAATTCCTTTCAACAGATAATATTGAAACTAAGGCATAACCAAATACACACACACACATACACACCCCCCCCCAAAAAAAAAAAAAACCCATAAAAATCCAACTCAACCACAGATTAACATCATATATAAAAATTAATTCACCAGTCTTCTTACTATTCATTGCACAGTTGTTGAACCTGCTTCAGTAAACAAAAAGAAATTCATGACTACTTACTGTTTTAATGTCCAAAATATTTGCTAATGTAAAATCATTCAGAATAAAAAAGGAGGTCTTGGGATTATATGTGCATAATAGTATAAATACAATGAGGGATGTGTGAGTGGCAATAGGCTAGACAGTAGTATTATAAATAATGTGCTACAAGGAAAGGTACTGGAGAATGAGATTCACCAAGTTATGTTATGTGCATATATGAATATGCCATAAGGAATTCTGTTCTTACGTATCATTATAATTCACCAGTAAAAATAAATGAATTGATTTTAAGAAAAATCAATACAAAATGTGTCATAGACTCAAGAACTAAAAGTATTTTTTAAGGAAAAATATAGCAAGGCAAGGCATGGTGGTGCATGCCGGTAATCCCAGCAACTCAGGAGGTTGAGGCACGAGACCACCAGTTTGAGGTCAGTCTAAGCAACTTAGCAAGACTCTGTCTCAAAATGAAAAATAAAAGAGGCTGGGGATGTGCCTCAAGAGTTAAGCACCCTTCAGTTCAATCCCCAGTTTCAAAAAGAGAGAAAGAGAGAGAGAGAGAAAATCGACAAATTGGATTTCATCAGAACTTTATAATTTTGCTCTTCAAATACACTGTATAAAAATGAAAACAAGCATCAACTGGGAGAAAATATCCGCAAACCATTTATCCAAAAGAGGCCTTATATTTAGAATATAAAGGACCTCTTACAATTCAATATTAAAGAGACAACAAACAAAAAAGAGCCAGAGATCTGAATAAACATTTCACTGAAATACATAGAGCAAAAAAGCACATGAAAAGAGGGTCAACATTAAAACTTGTCCAACTATAAACCTTATATTCAATTTTACTGCACAATTTTATGTCAATAAAGCTATACAATTTAAAAAATAAACTTGAGGTGAATTTATCACACACAAAGAAAAGCAAACTTGTGCCCACGTGACATGTAACAGCTTGGACTAACTACAGATGACATTGTAAACCACATAGGTTAGTTTCCTATCTCATATCTATTTTCCTCTGCCTCTTTATTAATAGCACCTCGATTGTGTTTGTGTAAGAAAATGTGCCAGTTAAAATACACAGGACTCTTATCTGTGACTATTTACCTTTGTAATAAGATGATATCCCTTCCTCCTCATCCATGCTTGCAATACTGATATGAGACCTATCAGTGAAGTATCTCTTCGTTGACCACAAGAACAAACGACAAGACTAAAGATGGAAGATCAGGAAAAAAAGAGGAGGAACCTGGTTCCTAGATGGCACCCCCAGAATTCAAAACACAGACTGCTTATCTGGACTTTTTGCTGAGATAAATAAGCATCTTCCTTGTTTAAATTTTTATTTGTTGGTGTTTCTTTTACATGAAGTTGAAATAAATTTTGTAGAGTTCAGAATTTGGTATCAAAAGTAAGGTCTGAGGTACCAGACACCCAAATCCATTCCTATGTATATATTGCTCCAATTTTATGGTCCAGACTTTCCCACTAAATGCTTTTAACTTTTAAAAAAAAATTTTTGTAGTTGTAGATGTAAGAATGCCTTTGTTTATTTTTATGTGGTGCTGAGGATGGAACCCAGTGCCTCACTCATGCTAGGCAAGCACTCTACCACTGAGCCCCAGCCCCAACTTTTTTTTTTTTTTTTTGATAGTGCTAGAGATGGATCCAGGACCTTGTGCATATGTGCATGCAAAGCAAGATCTCTATCAATTATTGCTTGAACTCTTTAAAGTGAGGTTGTAAATTCAGTTTATGTCATAATCCAATAGCTCATAGGCTCAGGTTCTGGTTTGTCCAACATCAGCCTTAAGAATGCAAAAAATAAGAAAACTCTCTCAAGGAAATTAAAGAAACACTGGGTTGTTGTTGGTTTTTTTTTGGTTTTGTTTCCTTAAAAAAACCAATGTTATTCCCTAAGGCTTTTCCTTAAACAGGTACTTCATTCTGGGTAATAACTTATACAACTTATATCACTACTTGATGTGGACTGACAAAGTCACATGCACTAATAAAACTATTTTTATCTTTACTATCAGCAAACCCATACAGCTACTACAAACAATGTGAGATGGCCTATCTTTGAGGTCTACTACTTGCAACTAATCAGGATACCAATTATCAAAGAAGTCTGCCTACTAATAGCAGATTATAGAAAATAAATATAGAAACAATCTGAAAGAGTCAGAGAGACAGGCCCTAAAACTATATACCATGAGGTGTTCCAGCAAAAACACATGTACACTGTTACTTCGATTTGGATACTAGAAGCCCTCACAGTGCTGTTCCTGAGGAAGAGGATGCCTCCACTACCAGACCTACCACGTCAGTCCTCCTGCTCTATATATTTACACTGTTTACTTCTAAATCAAGATCTTAGGAGATCTTAAGTGATATGTCTACACCACAGCTATACCCAGAGAGCAGGAATATGAGTCTTATGACTTCACTGAGAAGATGGAGTCCTTATGTGGAAAATTATAGAAATAAAAAGGTGGGTATCTAAGATTAGTAGAGCCACAAATGATAACTGTTGGCTTTTACATTATCATTATTACTATCTTAACATCAAATATTTTACATAAGATGCTTATGTACAATTATATCACCACTTCTTACTCATACTTACTGATCGGGAACATTTTTTGGGGGGACTGCTAGAAAGTCCATCCAACTGCCCATGTTCACCCAAAAATCCCGTGACTTGGTCCAAGAAAGACGATACATCTAATTGGTGCCACTCTACTAGCTTCTGACCTAAAGATTAAAAATCAGGATATATAAACATAAAAAAAACCCAAAACTTTTTCGGAACATTCTCATGATGTAGTTCTTTTGGCATATGCATAATTAAACATGCATCCATCCTTCACTAGCTTAACCTAAAGCCTACATAAATGATAACCACCTGACAGATTCCCATCCATCATGATAAAGCAACTATCTTATCACTTATTGCCATTTTGGAAGAAGAAATTAAAACAAAGCAGTGTCTAAATAAAACACAACCAATAATAAAAGCAAGTTGGGTACAGTGGTGCACACCTGTAATCGCAGCTACTCAGAAGGCTGGCCAGGAGGATCACAAATTTAAGGCTAGCCTGGGAATAGAGTAAAACCCTGTCCCAAAACATTTTTAAAAAATAAAACAAAACCAGCTTCACCCTGTGTTTCTCTGGTGCAATTATAACCAGTTATCTGAAAAATCTTAATATTTTAGTATTAAAAAACTTAGGAGGCTGGGCACAGTGGTACATGCCTTTGGGTGCATGCCGGTTGGGAGGCTGAGGCAACTGCAAATCTAAGACCAGCTTCAGCAACTTAGCAAGACCCTAAGTAATTTAGCAAGGTCCTATCTCAAAATAAAAAATAAAAGGACTCGGGAAGTGGTTCAGTGCTTAAATGCCCCTAGTGTCAATCCCTAGTACCAAAAAAGAAAACGAAACAAAACAAAGAAAAACAAACACAAAATAGCGAAACCTAAGGGGACCCTTTATAAAATGAACATATCAGTTATTCTCTGAAAGAAAAGAACTGCACAAATATAAAATATTACCATCTCTCAAGCTGCCAGAAATGGATTCCTTAAATACACATCAATAGACATTTAAATAATTATAAAGTGAATGAACAAGAAACCTTCAGCTAAATTATCATAGTTCCAATACCAGATCCAGTTAAATATTAAAGATTAATCATCTAGGTAAATGCAAAATAAATGATAGCTTAAAGGCTGTAGACTGTTATAAATCTTACCTGTCCGTGGGTCCAAGATGGAAACATAGGGGAAATCCCCTAGTTTATAGAACTGTATGTATCTCTGACCTTCCTCACTGTCATGATAAACCTGTTAAATCATCGATATATAAAAAAAGGTCAGCTTCTTAAAAAAAGTATCGACTATCATCTCGTTATACACCAATAGCAATTAATTTTTCAAATATACCCTTGGTGTCATGCGTTAGGATCTCATTCTCATGTTAAAGAAAAAAAATGAAGGTCATATAATGACTCCCTCAACTTCCTGCCCTCAGACCCACCTGGAAATCCATTTTCTTCCTGGTTCAGAAGTATTGCTCTTCCCTATTCAAGTATCTGTCCACCTCTCTCATTCCTGACCCTCAACTATAGATATCCTAATATATCACAACATATTAATATTAGCTTGAGAGTCTAGCATAATGCTAGGCAACAAAATGTTCAATCAATATTTGCTGAAAAAAATAAATCTTGCCATTAAAAATCATCATGTTGAATTTAGGCACCTATAACACATGAGCAGGCAAATTAATAACTTTAACATATCTTATAATAGGAAAAACTAAGTTCATTCAAAAGTTATCACCTAACCTTAGCTGGATAATTCTTTTTTTTTTTTTTTAGTTGTAGATGGACAAACAGTATCTTTGTTTATTAATTTATTATTATTTTTTAATGTGATGCTGAGGCTTGAACCCAGTGCCTCACCTGTGTGAGGCAAGCATTATACCACTGAACTATAGCTCCAGCTCTTAGCTGGATAATTTTATATAAAAAGAAACTAGAGGGTGGAGCTGGAGCTGAGTGGCAGAGTGCTTGACTAGCATGTGTGAGGCACTGGGTCGGATCCTTAGCACTGTATAAAAATTAACAAATAAGTAATTATAAGAAAGAAAGAAAGGAAGGAAGGAAGGAAAGAAAGAAAGAAAGAAACTACAGCTGAATGTGGTGGCGCATGCAAAGAAAAAAAACTATAGAGTCAAGAATACTAAGTGGTATGTCTAGGGATATAAAGTTAGTATATCAGGGATCAGGATGAAGGCATATATATATAGCTTAGGGTTATGCACAAGATCCTGTGTTCAATCCCTAGCCAGAGACAGAGAGAGAAAGAAAGTGAGCTCGTGCGCGCGAGCCAAATATAACAGAAACAGGATGTGAAAAGAGAGAGAGAGAGAGTGAGCGAGCACTGGCCCCACATAACATAGACAGAATGAAGGCCAAACTAAAAATCCAAGTCTTACTCAAATGTTTTCCCATTACTTCAAAGTCATCTTAGTCAAATGTTTTCCCATTACTTCAAATTATACACAAGCCACTAGTCACTAGCCCCAAATAGCTCTCTGAAGAACTTGAAATTGGCTAGTCCAAACTGAGATGGCCTAAGTATGGAAACAGACACCATATCTTGAAGATTTAACACACACACAAAGCAAAACATCCCATTGATATTTTTATATTTGTTATATGATAAATATATCAATTTAAACAAAATATATTATTAAATTAATTTCACCCTTTTCTTCTTTCTTTTCTTTTCTTTTTTTTTGGTATAGAGGATTAAACTCAGGGGCACTTGACCACTGAGCCACACCCCCAGCCCTATTTTATATTTTACTCAGAGACAGGAGACAGGAGATAGGGTCTCACTCAGTTGCTTAGCACCTTCCTTGCCTGTTGCTAAGGCTGGCTTTGAACTCAAACAATCCTCCTGTCTCAGCCTCCTGAGCCGCTGGGATTACAGAAGTGAGCCACTGTGCTCGGCCACAGCACACTCATTTCTTTTAATATAGCTAATAGAAAGCTTAAAATTATGTAAGTGGCTTACATTATAGTCCTACTGAACAGTACAGTAGCTGTACATTCACTCTATCAAGATGCTTCTGGGATGAGTGTTGGTTTATAAGAACTCTTTCCTTTGGGAGTTCTCCATTGCTGTCCTTTCACTTGCCTTTACTATTTCAGCCATTATGGGTGGTCTATATGTCAAGTTTTAACTCAGTTTTCCCAATTTAACACCTAATCCCTCCTCCCCTAAATACCACACTATAGAAATTAAATACCACAACAATTCTTCAACTTCAAAATTCAATAAACTCTTCTCACCTGCCAGAAAATGAAATGCTCCCGGATAATATTCTTCACAGCTTCATTGCTCCATACATCTCGGTTGAGACATTGGCATGCAAAATCTTGTACATTTTGAATATTTATCATCAGCCACTTATTCTGCATCTGGCCACACTCTTTGGCCTGTAAGAGAAAATTATACAACATTTGTTAAAAACAGTTTCTACTTGGTGAGTGATTTGTTTCAGAATTCAGAAGCTGTCCTTTCAATATAAATATTAAGCTCTTTATATCAGGAGTTTTCAGTGTTTATACATTATTTACGATTACTTTCCATATAGGTACATAACTACACTATCCATTTCAAACATTTCTCAAATTTAAAATAAACTATTTTCTTTTTAACCCACTGTCACAATGAATTTAAAAAATGTTTAAATATATTTATACCAGAAAAGAATTCTATAAACTTAAGATCAACAATTCACAAATTGTATTCTCTTCCAATCCCTGTCAACAAATATACCTCTCCTTTTTAACTGGAGTGTGTATATTACTTTATGCTGTTTAATCTTCATCATAATTTTCTATAATACTTCCAAATATCATATTCATTACATTTATTAGGCATATTCTATCTTGTAGAATCACCCTAGATGTTTTAATAAAAGCTACTGAGCACTATTACCTCTTAAGAGTTGTTTTCCTAAAAGACTGAGAATAATCTCCACATGATCCCTTAATTTATAGCACAAATCATGAGTGTGAACTTTTTGTTTCATAAAGACTCTGAAATGTTGTTAAATGTGAAATGAATGGTACAAAAGCAAATGAGAAAATGCAGTCTCAAAGAAATCTTTGCACAGGAATAATGACAAGAAAGTCATATTTTTTGTATTTTTCTGGAACAATATTCTTTTCCCTATCAGTTTGTCATGGAATCAATAAATTCTGTATAATAGTAATCAAAGAACACGCATCATTCTGAGGAGTATCAGAAAATGTAAGACTATTTTCTGTTTTAAAATGGTTTACACAATTTTAATAAAGCTCTTTTTTGTGTGCATGAATTCCCCAGAGATAATTCTTTTCTAATATTTGCTTACTGATTCCACAGGTGAAAAGTCACATTATAAAAAGAAGTACTCCTGTACTCAGCCAGCAAACTATCTTTACTGGTGAAAGTTTTATTTTAAAGCATATAAATATAATAAGACAACTCCTTGCTCTTTGAAGGCAATTTTGTTCCATTTAATTCTTTATCTACTTGCAAAGATTTAATAAGTGATTTAAAAAGGAGTAATTAAACTGCCTTATCTAAAGAAAAAGTATTAAAAGAAAAAAAGTCCCAGATTTTTAGAGACTAAAGAATATATATTGTTGTAATAGTAAATTTATGTAAGATTGCCCACAACTACAACACTGACAAGAAAAAATAAATATATAAAGCTGAAAATGAATAAAGTTCTAGAGTTAAAAACGATGATGAGGGGCTGGGGATGTGGCTCAAGTGGTAGCACGCTCCCCTGGCATGAGTGCAGCCCGGGTTCAATCCTCAGCACCACATACAAAAGATGTTGTGTCCACCGAAAACTAAAAAATAAATATTGAAATTCTCTCTCTCTTAAAAAACCAAACAAACAAAAAAAATGATGATGAGTCATTTACTTTGTTTTTTAAAATTTGTTTATTGACATTCATGCTTTTATTAATTCAGATTCAGCCATTCAATAAATACTAAATATCTACCAGTTTTCAGGTAGAGTTATAGATCCTGAAGTTATAGCAGTTACCAAACACAAAAATCCATTCCCTCACAAATCTTACATTAGAGAAGAAACCTTATACCAGCAAAAGAAATTTGAAGTTGATAGTATTATCCACACTGAAGATAAAGGTAACAATACTGCTAGAAGAAAGGATCCAAATATGACACGACTTCCAGATAGAGCAACAATATTAGGAGAAATAAAAAAGAGTCCTGAATAATTCTAGAGATTATACAACATGGATACAATTATTAATTTTGCATTATACACTGAATATTGGCTGAGAGTAGATTTTGGAAGCTCTTACCATGAGCGGGGGTAACTACGAAAGGTGATGGACAGATTAATTTGCTTGACTGTAAGTAATCACTTCACTATGTACAGCAAAACAGCATGCTGCACATTTTAAATATATACAATTAAATAAGAGGAAGATAAAGTCTTACATAATTTCACTAAGTATACCAATTACACAAGTTAAGGACTGGAGGTGGGAGTAGGCTATGGGACAAATGAGCAATTTCCCTCTTGAAATCTATTTGTCTGTTCTAAGTCAACATTCAAAAACCATTATGAGGAGACCCATGTGCAAAACAATGGGAGACAAGCATCTTTTTCCCAGTCCCAGGTAGATCAGGAAAGCATGAAAAACAAAAATCAGAGGAAAAAAATATATTTCAGTAAATATACATAAATAAAATCAAGGAAATATATTAAAATATGCATATGCACAGTGGGGAAATTAAAATTATAATAAAAATATTATTTCCCCTAATTTCTTTATTTAAACAGAGTAAAACTAAATGTAAGCTATACAGTTAGCTCTCCACACTCTTTGGATTCAACCACAGATGGGAAATATTCAGGGAAAAAAATTCCAGAACATTCCAAAAAGTAAACTTGCATTTGCTACATGCAGAACAGTATGTTGAATTCACACAAATGAAGAATGAAGTCATGTGTAGGCATACCCTGCTATAACTTTCTACATTTCACAGATCCTCAGTCTCTATCTGGCACTTGTTGTTTGAGCACTGTTTACCATGTGTTTCATTCAAGAACTATGGAGGCAGGCCTACAATAACCGCCTTTGTGCTGAACATGCATGGACCTTTTTTTGATCATAATTCCCCAAACAATATAGTATAACAATTATCTACAGAGCATTTATATTGCATTTGGTATTGTAAATAATCTTGAGATGATTAAATGTATACAAGGATGTATGCTATATGCAAATACTACATCATTTTATATAAGGGACTTGAGTTTTTCTTCAAATTGTACTTGTAGGGTATTTTGGTCACAGTAATGCAAAAACTAGCTAAAACAGATATTGGCACTAGAAATTGGGATCACTGCTATAACTGACCATGTGGTTCAGATGCCTTTGGTGCTGATATGTGAGAGGAAATTTGAAAAGTATAACTTGAAAAAGTTTTAGATTTTGTAAGTAGAGCTTAAAGCGTGATTCTGGTGGGAGCTCAGAAGACCAGATGCCAACAGGAATGTGGACTGTGCTCATGAGGTTTCAGAGGAAAATGAGTACTCTACTGACAACTTGACTAGAGAGCCTTCTGTTATATTCTGGCAAAGAACTTGGCTAAATTTTTGCTCACGTCCTGAGATTCTGTGTGAGGCTAAATTTATAAATGATGGATAAATTAATCTAGCAGAGGAAATTTCCAGGCAGCATAGCATTCAGGCTGTGGCATGGATATTGCTGGCAGCTTTAAGCCAGGTTTACTGTGAGAACTGGAAGCAAAAAGCACAGGAGAATTTTATAAAACTTGCAACCTGGCCAGAAAAGTGTGTATAAAACTGAGACCAAAGAAGGTATGGTTGTTGAAGAGATAACAGCCACCAAAGAGATGCTAAGTACTCTGCAAAGAGGCAACAGGAAAGATGCTTTGAATGCATTTCAGGAGTTGGCAAAGCCATACCTGCTGAAGGTTTAAGGACACTGAAATAAAAATTATTTTTAAGACAGAGAAGAAAGAGGGGGGGCACCCTATTTGCATAGGGAAGCCTAAGAAATTGTTTCGCTGTGCTCAGCCACTCAGAGGCCGTTGGAGCCGTGAAGGTCCAAGGGGGACCATCTACTGCTAAAGCTAGTCATAGACCGTGGTGTCATCTATATGGTGCTGATTCTGCAGGAATGCAGGATGGTGGAATTTGGAGGTCACAAGGCTTACACTGAAATTTCAAAGGAAGGCCTAGAAGGCCAGGAAAAGGGCAAATGGGTTGGAGTTCCTGCAGGCATCCTCTGAGAAGGCAATGCACAAAATTGTGAAAGTGAAGCTAAAGGTGGAATGGAGACTCCTGGAATTAAGAGATATCAGTAATATGGACTGTCTGTCAAGGAAAGCTGCTTTCTGCAAAGACAGTTAGGCTAGGAGGCTACAAGTACTGCAACCAGGAAGGCCAAGAGATGGGCCTTGCCAAACCCTTTGGAGCTCACATCTCAAAAACGTGCTGTAGATGCTGAACATAAAGTTGCAGAACCTAATGTTTGCCTGGCTGGGTTTAGGTCTTATTTTGGTCTCATTCATTCTTTGTATGCCACTATTCCCCACTTTGGAATGAGAATGTTTACTCAGTGTCACTGTACATTAGAGACATGTGGCCTGCTTTTAATTTTTACAGGGGCTCACAGCCAAGAGTTTGCCTTAAGTCTCAGATGAGACTTTGCACTTGAACTTTTGGGAAATGCTGGAACTATTCAGACTATAGGTACTCTTGGATATGGATATGAGCTTCTGCAGGTGAGGGGCAGAAAGTTATGGTTTGGATATGAAGTGTCCGCTCAAAGCTCCTGTGTCAATGCAGGACTATCCAGGGGTGAAATAACTAAGAGGTGTAACTTAATCAGTCCCATCCTAGTTTAAATGGACTACCTGGGTGTTAATTTAGGTGGGTGAGGTGTAGCTGCAGGAAGGGGGTTACTGGGGGTGTGCCCTGGAAGGGCTGTTCTTCCTGTGGCCCCTTCCCCTTTCTCCCTCTGCTTCCTGGTCACCATGAATAGAGCAGCACTCTTCTACCACCCCTCCCTGGGGCCCCGAGCAAGGGAGTTGGCCATCTATGGACTGAAACCTCAAAAACCCTGAGCCCACAGTAAACTTTTCCTCCCCTAAGGTGTTCTTGTCAGATATTTCCATCATAGTCATACAAAGCTGACTAAAATAGGTACCAGATACACATTATCCCCATGTCAGTCTGAGAAACTGCAGTTTTATCTTAAGTATTTGGATTTCTTAGTTTCTACTGCAACAAGATGTGGCCATATTATCAAGTTCTAATCAATAAGATGTGAGCAGAAGTGATGTGTACAACTTATAGATTGTGCCTTTAATAGGAAAAGCCATAACCTACTCAGGCCCTTCCCTCCTCCATGCTGGCTAGAAAACAAACACAGTGGTAAGTCATCTTGACTCATTGAAAAGAACAAGGAAGAACTACAGCACAATATAAAAACACAAAAATAACTGTAGCTCTAATAAATACTTGAAGTAGACCATCCTAACAGCCTAGCCTTTTCTAACTTAAGCTACTCATTTTTTCCCTCTCTGTCACATACAATATAATCTTTTTTTGGCAGAACTGAGGATTTAACTTAGGGCTTTGCAGATGCGAGGCAAACTCTCAACTACTGAGCTACATTCCCAACCCTGTTTACTTTGAGACACGGTTGTCCAACTAAGCTACCTAAATTGCTCTGAACTTGCCTCAGTCTCCTAAAAAGCTAGGATTATAGTCAGGTGGTACAAGGCTACATATAGTCTGATCTTAACTCTGAAATATATAATCTCCATCATGCAGAAAAGGTCTCAATAAATATGTATCAAATGACTAAGTGAATTAATCAATTTCTCATTTGGTTAGCATGCCCTAGAAATAGTCTCTGAATATGATTTGTCTAGTTACACTAGTTCCTAAACCTGTAAAACTGTGGCCCAGATTTATATATAATATGTAGATGGAACTTGAGGGTCTTCCCTGAGCAGCCAGAGTATCCCCCCAATTTTTAATATCTACCTCTTTAAACGTCAATGACTTGCATATTCCTTCCCTTACTTTTACTTACTTTGATATTATTAAGAAATATCTAATCACAATGAAATGCCTGTGTTTTCTGAGTTCTTACATCACTTATGACTTGCAAATATTTACAATTAGTATTATCAGTTTAAAAGAAAAAGAATGAATTATTGGAAACAATACGGTCATGAAATACAAAGAAAAAAAGTGACAAAATTCAGGACAGTACAAAAGAAATTCACAATATTTCTCAATAAACAAACAAACAAACAAAAAAACACTCCTTTTTTTTTTTTTTTTTTGGTATTGGGGATTGAACCCTAGCCACAGCCACAGCCCTTTTTATATTTTACTTAGAGACAGGATCTCACTGAGATGCTTCAGGACTCTCTAAGTTGCTGAGGTTAGCTTTGAACTTACTATCCTCCTGCCTCAGCCTCCCAGACTGCTGGGATTATAAGCATGCACCACTGGGCCCAGCAAGCTATTGCTTTTTATTAGCCCAAAGTTATCAAATTAAACCCAGCTCAGTTATTGCATTAAGCTCTAGAACAACTTGAAAGTTAATAAAAACAGAAAACATGCTATACAACCCAGATCCTTTTAGTCTTTCATATTGCTGCTTTTCAGTTCAATGGCTTTATTATAACTGGAACACTAGAAAAGATAGGCAGTTGCAATGTTAAGATCACAAGGGAAAAGACAACTATGGGAACATTCAATCTGATATCTTTGAGCGGATGAATGAACATCAATGATTCCCTCCCTCAACTCTAGGCTGATTAAATGACAAAAATAAACTGTGCTACATTCCCAGCCTTTATAATTTTTATGTTGAAACAGAAATCAAGTTAGATATCCCTAACTTGCCCAGGTTGGGCTCCAACTTATAATCCTTCTGCCTCAGCCTCTGAAGTCATTGGGATTAAAGGTATGCACCATCATGCCAAGCAGATGATTCATTCTTATCATAGATCTTGGCAAGTTCACCACACCATGTTTTCTTCTTTACTTATTGAGAACTTTTACCTTTTCACTTAAAGGAAAATACTTCATACCTTCTCATTAGCCACCAGTATCATTACTGCTAAGTTTTGGGGCCACTATTAAATAATAGCTATTTCAATGTTAGCACTATAATACTGTGACAGTTGACATAATAACTAACATGGATTCTATGTAATTAACAGGTGGGTACTATATATCATAGGGACTGTCCTAAGTATAGTGACACAAGATTTCATTATATTACTCTTAAGAGTCTACAATTTTAAATTTATGAATTATTTCTGGAATTTTCAATTTAATATTTTTGAACTTGGGTTTCTCAAACAATGGAGAGTGAAACTTCAGATAAAGGACAACTATTGGGCTAGGGTTGTGGCTCAGTGGTAGAGCACTCGCTTAGCCCTGGGTTTGATCCTCAGCACCACATAAAAATAAATAAAATAAAGGTATTCTGTCCAATTACAACTAAAACATAAAAAAAAATTTTTTAAAGGGATAACTACTACACAACTCTAGGCTGACTAAATGAAAAAATAAACTCATTTGGTCAAATCAACCTTATTGGAGTTTTCTGTTATATGATAAACTTAAAATTCCGAGGACAATACAAAAGAAATTCACAGTATTTCTCAGTGAACAAACAAAAAGCTACAGGCAAAAGATGCCTACAAATCATAAATAGTTAAACATTCACATACTATTCTCAGTAGTAAGTCAAAGATAAACTAAAAGTAAGGTTTTTAAGAAGCTATCAAAATGTCAGAGATTCTAAAATGATACCACACAAGGCTTTTCAGAGAATACCATCAAACTAGCACTCTCAATCTACTGCTATTAGAAATGGATTTTGTAAATTGCAGGCAGAAACATAAACCAATGTAATCTTTAGGTGTATCATGTAAAAATACTTATTAATATGCCAATTCCTTTTTGTTCTTAGGCAGAAAAATGGTGTTGAGAATGCAGAAGGTTTTAAGGCATTGAATCTTCAACAACTTACTGTTTCAAAGCTGCCTTTATGCATCAAGTCAATGGGTGGCCGGAACAAATCTGCAAGGGTAGTTAGTTTTTTATCTATTGCTCCTCCATTTCTTAGCTCCTGTTCTTGCCGAACTGCAACACAGAGGATGAAAAAGTTTCAATTGGCCAGTAAAATAAAAGACCCATGAATTACATTAAAAAAAAGCTGTCTAAACTAGAAGAATTACTGAACAATGTACTTGACCGCCAATGCAAATATCTAATGCTGACTTTAGAAAAAATAAAATAAAAAGGTTGATCAGGAGGGAGTCTTACGACTCGGTAGTGTTCCTGATCCAAATAATAAAAGCAGATAATTAATTTAAAATAATCATTTGGGGCTCAGGTGTAACTCAGTGGTACAGCATTTAATTAGCATGTTCATGACCCCGAGTTCAATCTCTAGCACCTTCCTCCCCCCAAAAAAGTCATCTAAAATAATTCCTTTCATATATTCAAAAACTAACTTTACTTTGGAAAAATATTTACATTTATCTAATTTGGAAAGTAAAATTAATACATGTGTTGCTTCTAACTATATCTTCTGAGACTCCGCCAGTATGGATGATGACCAATGCAGACATTCCCAATGTTTCCAAGATAACAAGATCAGTCTGTCCCTCAACAAGCTCATAAGTAAACTACAAAATCAAGCACAGTCCAAGAGTTCCTCATAATTTCTCATAACACTGTCCTTTTCGTAGGATTCCATTGCTAACCCAATACTAAGTCCTCTAAAAATATATGGCCAAGATTCTTCTAACTCATTCTATTAAAAGATATGAATCTATAATCCCAGCTACTCAGGCAGACGTAGGAGGAATGAAAGTTGGAGACCAATGAGTATAATTATTGAGTCCCTGCCTCAAAATAAAAAATAAAAAGGAGCCGGGCAACAGTGGAGCAGACCTATATTATAGGCACAGGTCTATAATCCCAGAGACTCAGGAAGCTGAGGCAGGAGGATCGCAAGTTCAAAGCCAGCCTCAGCAACTTAGTGTAGCCTAAGCAATGTAGGGAGACTCTGTCTCAAAATAAAACATAAAAAAGGCTGGAATGTGGCTCAGTGGTTAAGTGCCCCTGGGTTCAATCCCTAGTACCAAAATATAAAATAAAAAAATAAAATAAAAAGGGCTGGGGATATAGCTCAGTGGTAGAGCACCCCAGGTTCAACCTTCTGTACCACCCAAAATCTTATTCCAAATAACTGTAGTTAAAACATTGATGATGGCTGCCTTGGGTCATGTGCATTTTCTTCTCTTTTTCAATCCAACCTAACAGTTTTTGTTATAGTCATTTCTTCCACTGACAGATGGGATCCTGAGGAATATCAGTTTTTCATTTCCTTAGAATCACCTTTAAGTGCTCATGAACAAGCTAAATTGATAAACTACCAGATTTCTTACGTTATTTCCATCTCCATTATTATTCCTCTATAACCAAATAGGTTAGAAAATAACAATTTAGCTCAGAGTGAGTTCATCATAAACAGACTGAATTCATAATTTCATTTTTCCAATAAATTGAATTCTCAAAACAATTATGCCTAATATTAATTATTTTTTCCATTTTAATAGGAAGGGGAAGAAGGAGATAATAAACTTGGTCCAAGATACCTACTAGTTTCAGTTTGAAAATCCCGGAAACCATCAAATATTGAGCGGGCAGGTCGTCGTCTTTTAGGAGCTTTAGGGGGAAAAATAGAACTGATCAAAAAAGTTAAGCATTAATTTTGAAACTTAATTCTAGAAACTTCCTTATCTATAAGTTCTAAAACATATATTCAAAATGATACCCACCCACAAAAAAGGTATACCACTTGAATAACCAAGACTCAAAAATTGTCTTAGTGAATGGATGCACATGAAGAATTGTAAACACCAAAAAAAATCTTGAATTTTAGAAGGAAAAAGAAATCCCACTATAACATAATAGCTTAGTAACGGAAAAGTGAATAGAATGACAGCCTTCTGTTCCCCTGTATGGTGTCTACTACGCAGTCTTTAGGTATTTTATAGGTTAGATCTAGAGCACCATCATCAAAATATTATCTTTCATATAAAGTGGTCTTAAGAAATTACCAAACCACTTAGTACATTATAATAAATAAGGCCATTTAATGATTTTTTTCAATATATAGTTATTACGGTAGCTTTATGGCAAGCCTGGCCAGCATATAACCAGAACATTCCATATTAATGAATAATGATTAGCAGCAGGATAAGATAGAGTATAACATCCCCTACCCCATGCCAAAGCATCCTTCTCAACAACTTGTATTTGTCATTACACAGGACAATTATTTCCATGAAAACTACTAAATAAAAAACATAACAACAAAAAAATGTGGAATCACATGTTTAAAACCTTCGTTCTTGTTAAAAAACAAACAAACAAAAAAAAATATATATATATATATCACTCACATGTCTATATATCAATATTTATGTTAAAGAATTTTAAAGAATTGCTAGACACAGTAGGACGCTCCTATGATTCCGGATACTCAGAAAGCTAAGGAAGGTGGATCATAATTTGAGGCCACCCTGGGCAATTTAGCAAGACTTTGTCTCAAAAGTAAAAGGGGCTGGACATGTTGTACTTCAATGGTAGAGTTACCCCTGGTTCAATCCCCAGTACCACAAGGGGGAAAAAAAAAAAAGAAAAAGAGCAAGCAAGGAAATATGGATTTTCAGACCATCTTCACATTATTTTATATCTACTGATATTCTTTTAGTTGAAATATAGGAATAAAATTAAAATTCAGCCCCACACAGGCATGTAGTTACAAACCAGAGAAGTGTTTTAATAATCTTATTAGATAACTGTGGATATTTTTTGATACTATGCCAAAACTCAACTAGTGGAAGTTTCTTTTTTATTATGTGGTCTTGAAAAAACATGAATAATATATATGTATACATGATTGCTTCTTCAATTTAATCAGTAAGGTTCAATGTTCAGTTTCTTTTTTTGCCCCATTTTTAAAAACTGGTCCATTACAGTTGTACATGATGGTGGGATTTAATGTCATATATTTGTACATCCACAAAATATAATTTGGCCACTATTGTTCCCCAGTATTTATTTCCCTTTCCTCTGCCCGCCTCCCTCTCTCTGGTTCCTTTTCCTCTATCCTACTGATCTTCCTTCAATTTTCATGAGTCTCTCCTACACATACAACCTTTCCATTCCTTTTTTTAATCTTCCACATATGAGAAAAAACATATGACCCTTGACTTTATGAATTTGGCTTATTTTGCTCAGCATGTTTTCAAGTTCCATCCTGTTTCCTGCAAATGATATAATTCCATTCTTTATGGCACATAAAACTCCAATGTGTATATGTACTACACTCTTTCTTCATTCATCCATTGACAGCCAGCCAGGCTGGTTCCAAATTTAGTTACTGTGAATTATGGTGTTATAAATATGGATATGCATGTATTGCTAGAGTATGATGACTTTAATAAATACTGAGTAGTGGTGTAGCTGGGTTATACAGTGGGGTTCCAATTGCCTGGTCTCTTGAGGAAACTCCATACTGATTCCATTATGGTTGTACTAACTCCACCAAGAGTGTAAAAGTGTTCCTTTTTCTCCACATCCTCTCCAGCATTTATTATTGCTTGTATTCTTTACTTGTTTTTAATTTTTGTGTGTGTGTTGTGGTACTGAGGATTGAACCCAGTGCCTCACATGAGCCAGGCAAGCGCTCTATCATTGAGCCACAACTCTAGCCTCTTATTGTTTGTATTCTTTTTTTTTTTTTAAATTGTAGATGGACACAATACCTTTATTTTATTTATTTTTATGTGGTTCCAGGGATCGAACCCAGTGCCTCATGCATGCTAGGCAAGCACTCTAACACTGAGCCACAACCCCAGCCCTTGTTTGTATTCTTGATGGCTGTCATTCTAACTGGAAGTGAGATGAAATCTCATGTAGCTTTGATTTGCATTTCCCTAATTGCTAAAGATGTTGAACATTCTCTCATATATTTGTTAGCCATTTGTATTTCTTCTTTTAAACCTGTCTGCTTAGTTCATTTTCCCATATCAATTGGGTTATTTTTTGTTGGTGGTTAGTTTTGAGTTCTTTATATATTCTGGATATCAATCTTCTTTTAAGAAAAATAGCTAGTAAAGATTTTCTCCCATTCTGTAGATTCTCTCTTCACATTTTTAATTGTGTGCTGTGCAGAAGCTTTTTAATTTGATTCCATCCCATTCATTAACTCCTGGCATTATTTCCTAAGCTTGAGAAAGTCAATGCCTGTACCTATATGGAGTGTTGACCCTACATTTTCTTCTAGGAGTTGCTTAGTTTCTAGTCTAATTCCTAGGTCCTTGATCATTTTGAGTTCATTTTTGTGTAAGGTGAGAGATATGTATAGTCTCATTCTTCTATATATGGATAACCAGTTTTCCCTGCACCATTTGTTAAAAATGCTGTCTTTTTGGGCTGGAGTTGTGGCTCAGTGGCAGAACGCTTGCCTTGCACATGTGAGGCACTGGGTTTGATCCACAACACCACATAAAAAAGAAACAAACAAAATAAAGATATTTAAAAAGAACTTATTTAAAACAAAAATGCTGTCTTTTCTCCAGTGTATATTTTTAGCACCTTTGTCAAGGATCAGATGACTATTATCTGTGTGGTATGTCTCTGTGTCTGTTGTTATGCTAGTACCATACAGTTTTTGTTACAATAGCTCTGTAATATGACTTGAAGTCAGGTATTGTGATACTTCCAGCATTGTTTTTTTGGCTTAGAACTGCTGTGGGAATTCTGGGTCTTTTAAGTGGTAAAAGGTTTGTTGCAGCATGAAACCTAAAATCTTATCAATGAGCTTTTCATATTTTGTCCTATTAAAATCCATTATTCTAGGTGGCAGGTGGTCTCTAAAATGAACCCCAATTATCCCTTACTAGGGCTTCATTAACTGCTCTTCAAAAGACCCATGTATGAAACGTTTGGTTCCCACTTCATGATGCTATTTGGGAGGTGGTGGAGTACTTGAGACATGAAGCCTAGCAGGAGGAAGTTAGGCCTTTAAAAGTATGCCCTTAAAGGAGGATGCCAGGCTCTTCCTCTTTTTGCTTCCTGACTGCCACGATGTGAGCTGCTTCTTCCTCCAGGTGCTCCCACCATTATGTTCTTCTGCTTTGTCCCTGGACCAAAAACAGTGACATTTGTCGACTGAAACTCCAAAACTGTGATCCAAAATAAACCCTTCCTATTTTTATATTGATTATCCCAAGTACTTTGCTATAGCAACACAAAACTTACACATACATCCCTTTCTCCCATTATTTATAATCTATATGTGAATACCCTGATTATTGATGGTATCAAATAGAATGTGGCAGAAGAGATGGGATGGCATGGCATTTCCAAAAAGACAGTAGCTTCCATCTTGGGCAGTCCTCTCTGACTCTCATTTGCTCTGTGATAAAGAAGTTATATTGCTAACCAAGAGTGTTAAAGGAGATCCTCCTCCATTCAAGCTTTGAGATGACTTATAGCCAGCAGACACCTTGATTAGGGACCCTAACCAAAGGCACCCAGCTAAGCTATGCTTGGATTCTTGACCCATAGAAACTGTGATATAACAAAATATTTGTTTGTTTTCAGCAGTTTAATTTTGGAGCAATGTGTTACACAGCAATAAATATCTAATACAATCCATCTTGAAGTATGAATTAATCTTACCAGTGCATAATATTTTATAATATCATGCATTGGTCATTTAACAGTACTTATTCACTGACCTAAGTAAACATTCCAAATATGGACCATTTCATTACAATATCAAAAAACCAACAAACTAACCAATAAAACATCTGTTAAGGGCTGGGGTTAGAGGACTTGTCTGGCACATATGAGGCACTAGGTTCAATCCTCTTAGCACCACATAAAAATAAATATGGGTATTGTGTCTAGTTACAACTAAAAAATATTTTTTAAAAAATCTGTTAATGTTACTACTGATTTGAGAAAAAAAAGTCTTTAAGTACTGGGGAGGTATTAAGCTTACAATAGTGGATTCAATTTTTCTAAAATTCTGATTTTACTTGAAAACTCTTTAAAAATCACTGATAGGATTGTGGCTGTAGCTCAGTGGTAGAGCACTTGCCTAGCATGTGTGAGGCACTGGGTTCGATCCTCAGCACCACATAAATGAATAAATATTTTTTTAAAAAAGATCACTGATAATAAGTATTATCAGTTATCTTGAAGTAACAAGTTCACTCTTCATTTTCTTTTTTTTTTTCCTTGTGGTGCTGAGGATTGAACCCAGGGCCTTGTGCATGAGAGGCAAGCACTCTATCAACTGAGCTATATCCTCAGCCCTCACTCTTTATTTTCAAGAACATGTCTGCCAAGTCCCCAAATCTAATTATACTGTCAGCAAAAAGTTGCTAATTTCAACTCAAATAACCGTACAAGTATTTCTGATTATGACAACCACAGTACTTTCAGCATGCAAAAGTGTATTCTACATACACATCCTATTTCAGAGTATTTTGAAAATGTATATTCACAAGTAAAGACTTAATGAAAATAATCCTTTTTAATGCTTCATCAAGAATATTACAAAAGACAGCCGGGCACAGTGGTGCATGCCTATAATCCCAGAGGCTCGGAAGGCTGAGACAGGAGGATCATGAGTACAAAGCCAGCCTCAGCAAAAGCAAGGCACTAAGCAACTCAGTGAGAACCTGTCTCTAAATAAAATATAAAATAGGGCTAGGGATGTGGCTCAATGGTTAAGTGCCCCTAAGTTCAATCCCTGGTACAAAAAAAAAAAAAAATTATAAAAGAAAACTGCCTTTTTAATTATTTTGTAAATTGAGCATGTGACTGTGAAGAAGTCTATGACTAGTGATACAGTTTGGTGCCACTGCCCTAATCAACTAAGATACTGACAGTCTGACCCAGCATTCCACACTGCTTTTAAACCATCAATTCAAATGTCACTCTGGTGAAAAGGACAAACAACTTCTTAGCATTATTATAAAAATAGTTTTAACTTTGCAGACCCCCTAAAAGGGCATTAGGAACTCCCAGATCACCCTTTAAAACCATGCTTTAAATCAATACCTGTCCTAAGAAGAAAACATTTCTGCAAAGACCCTAGTCAAGTTATAAGAAGACCTAATAATGACAAGACTGACTTTTTAACTGTATAAAGTCACTCTCCCTCCTGAGTGTATGTCATTCTAGAAGAAGAAGAAAAAAGTGTGGTTTTAAATGAAATCCTGTTTGCTTCTGTTCAACAGCAAGACAAAAATTCATTTCCTATAGTTTTACCACTCAAAGATCTTGCCTATGCCTTTAAATAAAGAGAAGATAAAGCTTCTACGAACATTATTCTTCAGCTCCAAAATCAGTTCATAGCATTTGTATGGAAAAATATGAACAACATATTATTATATCTGATATAATAACAGCACAATGACTGGCTGACCTGAATAGTTCAGAAAGGATTATTATAGAATTCTGATTTCAACATTTCCCCCCAACTTTATTTATTTCTGAATCTAGAAATATTCATACACACACATCCATATATGCAAGTTTCATGTCTGCAGATCAACACTGGGAGAAAAATTTGAGAGAAAAAGAAAATGATTCCATACTCAACACATAAAGACTTTAGTGTCACTATTCCCTAAACAATGCAACAACTATTTGCAAAGCATTTAAATTATATGGGATATTATAAGTAAATTAGAAACTATTTAAAGTATACAGGAGGACATGCATAGATTATATGCAAATATTAAGCCATTTTATTCAGAGACTTGAGCAACCATGAATTTTGGTATCCACAGAAGAAGGTGTGAGGGAGAGTCTCCTAGAATCAACTCTCTGTACACATAAGACAACTGCATTTTTATTTTTGGTATAGTAAAGTCTATAAAAGACTGCCAAGTTAAAAGTCTATCTTTAAAAAACTCTCAACTTCAAAATATGATATGTCAAGATCATTGTACTGTCATGTGTAACTAATTAAAACAAATAAAAAATTTTAAAAAAACCTCTCAACTAAGGTGCTTTTTCAGGTCAAATGATTTGGTTAATAAAATTTTCTTCATCTTCTCACAACTTATTTCTTTTCTTCCATTGTACAAAACTTTACATAAGTCTCTTGCTCTCAACTTACAAACTATTTCTCTACATTGCTGTTCTTAATATGTACAATATGTATTTGCTGTCTCAAAATGAAACATTTAAAAAAAGGGCTGAAGATGTGGCTTGGTGATAATAAGAGGCCCTGGGTTCAATCCCTGATACCAAAAATAATTTTTTTTTTTTTTAAACCAGAAGCAAGGGAGTTGACTTTTTATTTATTTTTTAAGTACAGTTTGTATTTATTTTTTAACAGATATATATATATATATATATATATAGAGAGAGAGAGAGAGAGAATTTTAATATTTATTTTTTAGTTTTCGGTGGACACAACATCTTTGTATGTGGTGCTGAGGATCGGACCCAGGCCGCACGCATGCCAGGCGAGCATGCTACTACTTGAGCCACATCCCCAGCCCTAAATTTTTTTTTTACAACACTTAAGTAACACCCTGAACAAGCCTTCATATTTCTTGGTTTTTAACATTAAAATCCTAGAGACAACAACAAAATCAATTAAAGGGGAAAAAAACTGAACTTACCACCAAACAAAGGTTCTGGTTCCACTAATATTTCCTGCTTTTGAGGAATTGGGGCACGAACTTCTTCTCTATTAAAAAAGTAGGAAAATATCAAATGAAAACTGTTTTCTAATACCTTCAAACTAATTATTGTGAATACATTTAAATTAAGTAAAATGAACCCCAGACTTAGTGACTTTTAGGAACCACAGTAATCATGATAAATGTGTTTTAGTTGATATCCACAGAGATGAACTAGAGTAAAATACCTTGCATAGAGACAGTCTTATAAAGTCTTATAAAGACTCTTATAAAGACTGTCTATAAATATCTTATAAAGAACAAATATAAAAATAAAAAAAATATTTCCCACCCCTTCTCAGGTTCCCCACATCAAATTTTTACAGGAAAAAAGACAGGATTTACCCCCCAAAACAGACCAAAAATGGTAAAACAGGCTTAACAGAAGTACTATCACATTACCTAAAATGACAGATAATTAAATCACAAGGATATATTAAAGTGAGATCAAATAAATCAACAATGAGTTTTATGTTAAATTACAAAGGACACTAATACAGGTATAATCTTGGGTTATATTTAGTCTATTTAGTAAGTAATCTTGGGTTACTTACTAAATAGACCCAAACAGAAGATATAATTACATATCTTTTGAAAGTCAATTCTCTTCAAAGTTCACTTCCACAGGTATACTAATAATTAATTCATCATGTAGAATTCAATGGTACAGCACCCCTGGGTTCAATGCCCAGAACCTCAAAAAATGTATTTATTTTTAAAGCACAATTTAAAAAATACATTTTATACAATGAGAAGGGCAGATATGTGCCCCTAAATCAACTCCATCCACTATTCATGTTTCTATAAACTAAATCATGTTTTCATATTGATTCCCATTAAAAATCTGAGCCATGGTGGAGGAGAATGAAATATCACACTTGAAATAAATGGCCAACATTAACATGAAAAAAATGTTATAAAGATCCCTAAGGCCCACACTTCATGTGGAAACAATATTGTATTAATATGGAACTAGTTCAACAAAACAATACTGTATTAATATGGAACTAGTTCAACAAAAGAGGCAATTATGCCTGTATATGATCTGGTTTTTAAATTTATCTCTAATTTAGTAAAAATAAAATACTAGTATTTTGCCTCTTCATATTTAAGAGGATTCTTCTTGAATTTTATATATAATGAATGCTATAAAAAGGAATATTAAAGTCTCACATGAGGATTTTTAAATTTTGTCTCAAAAATCAATGGCTTGGGATTCCCAGCTCTGGGGCCCCTTCTCTTCAAATAAAGTCTATCCCTATCACTTTTGCAATAAACCTGCTGCTTTCTTTAAAAAAAAAAAAAAAAAAAAAAAGGCTCGCCAGACGTGGAGGCATTGCCAGCAGCTCGGGAGGCAGAGGCAGGAGGATGGCAAATTCAAAGCCAAAAAAAAAAAAAAAAAAAATCAATGGCTTTCCACCGAGAATGGTGGCATAAACCTGTAATCCCAGCTACTAGGGAGACTGTGGTTGAAGAATCCGAAATTCAAGGCCAGCCTGGGCAAATTAGTGAGACTCTGTCTCAAAATTTTTAAAAGGGGGTTGAGGTGTACCTCAGTGGTAAAGTGCTTGCCTACCATGGACAAAGCCCTGGGTAAAAAGCTCTTGCCTTGCACATGAGAGCCAGTGGGTCTGATTCTCAGCACCACATAAAAAGAAATAAATAAAATAACGGTATTGTGTCCATCTACAACTTAAAAAAAAAAAAAGGCCTTTCCTTTGAGCAAGTTTCAGGCCTAATATTTTCCAAAGACAGTTGAAATTCTGCCCAACAGGTATTTATTTCAAACTCTCATGGTATTAATTGTAAAGAGCAAAACAACCAAATCTCTTCACCATTATTACTATTCTCTATTTATTATAGCTCAATAAGCTGAGAATGCTTTTAATGATTAACTACATATAACTATTTAAGGTAACCAAAATTATTTGTCCTTTTTTCAAAGTAAATTAACTTTTTTTTTTAAGTGCTAGGGATTAAACCTAGGGCCTCATGAATGCTAAGCATACACTCTACCACTGAACTATACCCCCAGACCAGAATTAGTTTTTAAAATTTTTTCATGGCAACTCACATTCCTGGGACAATTAAGAAAATCTAGAATTGGGAAATATGAGCTTTACTGGATTTCTGTATCTGCTGCTTAACTGCTATGTGGCTCAGAAAAATTGCTATGCCTCTGCTTAGCAATGTGGGCAATAATGCTGTTCTATTAAGTTCTTCCCCCTTTGGCTATTGTGAGGCATTCAAGCCTTGCCTCTGGCCACAAGCCAATCCTAATCATGCAGCTTCACTCTCCACCATGCCACTGCTGGCCTCCAGGACTTCATGTGGAGCCCATGAAGTCTGACTGAGAGAGAATTTAAAAACAGACATGACAGTGCTCAAGAGAATTCAAGGTATATAAATACAAAAATTTTCACTTTATACTTTTTATGAGGCTTCCAACCTTAATTTTTTTTTCAAGACCAGAAAACGACCTAACTTTGATAAAAATGCAACTAGTTAACTTAGGCAAAGGATAGCTCCTAACAATAAAAAATAAATTCATACTCTGTATGTGGTCTGACAGTGGAGACGCTTGCTGAACTGGTACTGGGCTCTTCAGCGATTCCTCCACCATCCAAAAACATAGTGACTGCCATCTCCAGATTATTGTTGCAGGCTTCAAGCATATGTTTTCCTACACTTTCACTTGCACCTGAAATAGCAAAAGGACAGGGGGGGAAAAAAGCTTTAAAGATACCTTCTTTCATTCAGCTTCTGTTAAAATATAGAACTGCCAAGCAAATTAATAATCCTTTCGTTTTTAAATAAGTTCATTTTTACACTGTTGGCTAGCTAGTATGAAATATACAGAACTAGAAAATAATGTAGCAGCATTAAAATACTCATTTTTTATACTAAATCGAAAACTAAATAAAGCATTCCTTCGCTATTTCTTTAAATGACCTAAGTATATATTTGTTAATAAATTTTAAAAAGATAAAGAAAAATAAAAAACTACACCATTCTATAAAGTTAGAAATATTTTTCTGTTAAAAGGAATGCATTTTAGTTAGCATCTGCTTGTTACAAAGCATTTTTAATATGAAAGCAAGAAAAAAGTGAGACGGGTCATTTTTGTCTAAGATAAACTAAATCAAAATCTGATAAGAAATAAGGATCTATCATTTAATACTGGTCCTTACACTGATGTATAAATAAATCTGCAGTCTGTTAAAATTAAATGTAAATTAGTGAAAACCTTTAAGAAAACAATTCTACAACAAGTACTAATGATCAAAAATACTCCTTTTTTGTCTAGTAATGTAATATGGACATCTAGTCAAAAAAATTAAATCTATGGAAAATGTATATGCATAAACTTGTCTATATATGTCCAGAGTAGCTTCAGTTAAAAGTGAAAAATTGGAAACAACATAAATATCCGATAACAGAATGTAATTTAGAACATCCATTTGATTTAATACATCGTGGCCACTATAAAGTATCAGATTTTCCATTTGGGATTTTTCTTTATCTGAATCATGTCCCTTAGAATTTCTTTCTGTTGGTAGTAAATGCTCTTCTAAGTTTTTGTCTGAAAATATCTATTTTACTGTCATTTCTGAAAGATGGCTTTACTAGGTATGTCACTGCAAAGCTGACAGCTAAGTACACTGAAAACAACATTCCAATGTCCTCTGGCTTCTGTTGTTCCTAATGGGAAATCAGCTGTCAGACTAAAGGAAATAGCCATTTTTAAGATTTCTGTGACTGTGACCTGTTTCCTGTCTTTCACTCTGATTTGTTGGGACTAATTTTATTTATACTCCTTGGGATTCAGGGGATTTCCACCACTTATGAATTATCTTTTATCAATTCTAAAAATTCTTCAGTCATCTGTGAGCGATTTAGGAGCAAGCAGGAGAATAAACATGTATTGATAAAGCTCCCCCCCCCCAAAAAAATTATTCAGTCACTTATTTGACTATTGCCTTACCCCTCAAACTATATTTCCTTCTAGAATGCCAATTAAATTATTAGAACTCTTCACTCAACCTTTCTTTCATATAGTTATTGTCTCTTTATCATTCTATGCTGCATTCATGGTTACTAACTACAAAAGCTATCTCCCATTTCACATTCTCTTTAGCTGTGCCAATCTATCTATTTAATTCAATTTAATCTTTTATAAGTTCTATTTCTATTTCCTTATCTACTTGGTCATGTTTCAGAAAACCTTAATTTTTCCATTCAAGCTTTCATTTCTTCAAGCATATTAATCAAACAAATATTTTATTGAGACACAATATAAAATTTCTGCAATCTCTATGGGTCTTTCTGTTTCTCCTGGTTTTTACTGTGTGTGCCATAGTTTCTTCAAGATTTGTGATTTTTTTTTTAAAAACTGATCTCGTGTGCTTTGGAATTTTAATCTGAAGATTTTTGAATACTGGGTTGAAAGCTCATCCCTCCTAAGAGGATTTCATAGACTTTGCAAAGTCCCCACAGGTACTACTGCTAAACACACAAACACTTTAAATATATTCTTGATTTGGAAGCTTTTCAAGACCACATGTAAAATGTTATCATCCAACAACCCTTGTTAGATATACCTGTCCCTATAAATGCACCCTCACCCCAGCATGGGTGAAACATTAAAATCTCAGCTTCATGAAGGGGAGTGATCTTTTAAATTCTTTTCCTTTGGAAGGTCCTGAACTTTGTTTCTTGTGCCCTATTTAGCTATAAAAAAGGAAATTCAAAATCATTCAATTTGGGCAGATTCCACCAAGGTGAAGGCTTGTATTAAAGCTACTATCTGCAATTCCAATTACACTTCATTTTGAGCCTCTTGCCAGCCCTTTAGCCTTGCTGTGAGAAATTGAAGTGCTGACTCTACTCCTGTACCTCTCATTTATTTTCAATTTACTACTACGAATATGGGTTTAGATCAAGTCCTTAACACTTCATACTTGATTACAACAGGATCCAAACTGATCATCATTCTATCTTCCACCTTGCTGCCAACATGTATTCCAAAATAACAAGTATGGTTCTATCATCTACCTGCCACAAACCCTGTTTTAAAATTCCTTAATGGTTCTCTCCTGACACTTACAGTATAAATTCCAAAGTCTTTATGATCTGGAAAGTGCTTTATGATGGGATCTCAGCTTATTTCTCTGGCATTGCCTTTCTTTTCTCTATCCTATACAATTTTACTATAGTCAAACTTAAGATACATGCTTGGAATGCCCTTTCCCCATTCAGGCCCATGCTGAGAAGCACCAGAAGTGTTACTTGTCAACGTATGTGCTAAAATACCTCCTGGTTCCCAACCCTACACTGTTGTGGTATATCAATGATGTACTGCTAAGCAGTAAATGCTGGTTTACTTTCTGGTTTCTCTGACAAAGTAGAAGCTTCTTAAACACAAGGAATGGTTTTCTTGTGCTTGTATACCCAGCACCTAGCTTTATGTTTGTGCTTATGTATGATCAACGTCTAATTCACTTAGAGCTACTCATAGTGTTTTAGCTCGAGACATAATATACCAGTGTTAGGTGTGAGTCACGTCATGGGTAAGGGATAAAAAAAGTAGAAGAGAGCTTACTACCCCTTAGGGACCTCTACCCACCTAACACACTAGCACAGCTTAATAAAAGCAAGCCCCACTGTGTAGGATACGGCCTTGAGCTACTATGTAGCTTGGTCCACTATACTCGCCCAGAGTTTATTGAAATTTCACTTTCAATAAACCTTTGCTTTTACTTGCCAATGTCTCACTTCTCTCAAGTCTTTTTTCAGGATACCAAGAACCCGGGCCAGGACACCCTGGGGATCCCTGCTTATGCACTGGTAACGTAGGGGAAAGAGGAGCCAGAACCACTGGCAATCTTTCTATATCTTAAATTTTGTACTTAAATTTATATGCATATATTTTGTAAATATATTTATGATTTAAATTAAACTCATAAAGCAATATAGTTACATGAAAATAACAAATAGCAAACGGGCACTTGGGATAAATAGGCTTAAGACAAAATTTTCAGTAAAAGCATCACATACAAATTTTTAAGTGGTTATATCTCAAACAATGTAAAGACAAGTAAAAAACAGCATGCTCCAAAAATTGTCAGGTGATACTGAATAGCTACAACTTTTCAGGTAAATGATAAAGTCATAAACCTAAGATGTAAATGAAAATAGAAAAAGAATACATTTATTTCATGAAACTTGAGTGGAAAAAAGCACCAATATACAATACTGTGCAATTTAATGTTAAATCAATAAATAACATATTACCCCCCAAAAAGCATCTAATCATTTCACTTTAGTCTTAGACATGTACATACTTAGGTTGTCCCAAAACCTTTGTTGGTACCACCTCACAACCACTAGGATGGTTACTCTCAAAGAAAACAAACAAAGAGTGTGGGGGAGGTTGTAAAAAGAAAAAAAACAGAAACTTAGTATAATACTGTTGGGCTGTAAAATGGTACTGTCATCATGAAAAACACTATGTCAGCACCTAAAAAAATTTTAAAGTAAAATGACCATATGTCTAAAGCTTTAATCTCTAAGGATATACCCCAAAGAACCAAAAGCAAGATCTCTCAAATATTTGTATTTTCTCCCCGCCCCCCGCCCACTCTCCTCACCATTTTTATTTCTTTTTGATACCAGGGATTGAACCCAAGGATACTTACCCACTTAGCCACATCTCCATTTTGTATTTTGAGACAAGGTCTTGCTAAGTTACTGAGGGCCTCACTAAGTTGTGGAGACTGGCTTTGAACTTGCCATCCTCCTGCCTCTGCCTGCCAAACTGCTGGGATTACAAGAGAGCACCACCTTGTATATCCACTTTCAAGCACCATTATTCATAGTAGCTAAAACATGGAAGCAACCCAACTGTCCACTGACAGATGAATGGATAAGCAAAATACAGTCTATACAATTCTGACATGCTACAACACAGATGAACTTTGAGGACATTATGCTAAGTGAAATAAGCAGTTGCACAAAGACAAATACTGATTCCATTTATGTGAGGTACTTAAGAGTAGTCAAAATTAGAGAGACAAGAAGTAGAATGGCAGTTGCCAAGGGTTAGGGGAAGGGGGATGAAGAATGGAAATTTTTTGTTTAACTGAGTATTGAGTTTTAGTTTTACAACAGAAATAGTTATGGAGATAACTTCACATTGTTAATGTATTTAATACCACTGGAATTTACACTTAAAATACTTAAAATGGTAAATTTTGTTGAGTATCTTTGAATAGAAAACAAAAAAATTTAAAAAAAACCATCATTTTGGGGGGGGAATTGAAGAAATACATTTAATTTGTTAAAAATATATTTGGGATGTCTTGAACTAGCTACAATCCCTTGTAGCTGATAGATGAATGGCTCTTTTCCTCTCCACTGTCTTTCCTTTTCCTTTTGATTCTTTTTTAATGGGGGTGGGAGATGTTGCTTGCTTTCCTTTCCTTACTTTATTTGCTGTGGGAACCTCTCTTTTTGCTTGCTTGTTTAAAGGCAAGGATTCTCTAGGTTGCCTCAGTCCCCCTGCCTCAGCATGACTTGACATTCGGCTCTCCTTCCTTCTTCAAACAATAGTGGCACGACATGACATGTGACAGGATTGGAGAATTAGAATATTTTTCTCCTGGATAGCTATCAAACCTGCAGAAGGACATATTCGTGCAT